ACGTCCATTCTGGTTGAGCTTGACATGTCTGTTGAACGAATGTGGATTTGGACAAGACAATACTCATCCGACGAGTCGAGTCGCCTTCTTTTGAACGGCAGCTCGAGTATGAGAAAATTAGCTAAACCTTGCCATATCCATCTAAAAGATTTCTCGTTATGAGTGTATAGATGAAGTATGAAAGAGCTGATCAGTCTTCTTGGTTTAGTGTTAACTTGAGACCTTTGCAGGAATAAGTCCCAGCTCTGATGATGTTCGTCATATGACGAGCAAAAGCTCAGCCCGTTTTCATCCGAAAGGAGAAAGGATGTCTTGTGAACTGCGTCGACATCGTTTTAAATTCAAACGGCTGCTGTCGTCTTCTGGTGAATTCGACCTACGGATCTTCATATCATGAACTTTTATGCGGAATAGAAGTCTACAACAATCTACCCGTTCTGCGGATCAGCCATAATTTGGCAGAAACGTCTTTTAAAAGAAAGGCAACTTTTCACCAAACCTTCCAATCAATAGTCTGGTGACGCTGACGTCTAAAATACTTAAATTATGAATTATCTTCCGGACTAACCCTGTGCTAATACTACATGCTAAATGTTGGCAATCCTTCCGTTTAGAGTGGGCCCAATACTTAAATAACCTAAAGCGATCAGGGATCACTAAATTCTTAATCAAAAATTAATCGTAGTCCCGAAAACTACTTATATCGAATATATGTAACCTCTTAGATTAGAATGGCAAACATGTTCACTTAATCAACAACCCCACCACAAAACGTGAGTTGTAAGGGTTGGCAGACCCTGAATATTACATCTGCTTTGTGAATGACTGGCACCTATGGCTGTGTAGCTTAGGTATGACGTCGCCACAATGCTCACGACCCAATATCTGATTCCTCTTCTTCGTTTGAGTATAGCGGAAGGGCTGACAAGAACTTAAGCTATACTCAAGATAATATACGAAGGAAATGCAAGTTTCGATTAATGTATAGGGGTTACATTTCTGTAGTTCTTCATTTCGTACGAGGGCAAATGATGAACAGACTCGTAGGTCAATCTTATCAGAAAACGACAGCTGATGCTCGTTTTACTGCAGCCGTTCGGCTTTACCAGGACGTTTAAGTGGACGCAGTCCACGAGACATCTTACCTATTTTCAGGGAAAAACAGGCTGACCTTTTGTTGGTCATATAACGAATATAATCAGAGTTGGAATTCATTCTTGAAATTCCTCTAGTTAACACCAAGTAAGGAAGCCGACCAATCTTCTTGATCAGTGTCAACTACATTTCGTACTGCTGTAAGAGCACGCAGTTTTGGTGATAATAAAGACTATGGGTGATCTATTCCCTATCCAAGATCGATATGCAATATCTGAGCGATCAATCTATCTATCGGTAACGTCTTTATACCGCTTAAAAATAGTAAAATACATTAGCCTAGTGTACATACGCAGAAAAATGTTGGCTAATCATAAATGATGTAGCCATTTTGCTTGTTAAATTTTACGTTAATCAACATTGATGAAAGCCTATTGATCTCAAAACATTACCATTTTCTCTCCTGAAGTTACAGTATTTCGTTTGTACGAAATACCAGGCCCCTTAAAAGATTCACATCAGAATATGTCCTTGAATGGGTTTGACTCCAAAATAAATAGTTAATTGACCAGGCAGTGTAGCGTTGTAGCTTCAAAGAGGCTTTATTCCGAAGACAAATAGTTTCCACTGTGCGTGAGCTTTGGTAATGTCAATAATTATTTATTAAGAACTTAATTGCCCGAGATTTCTTGTGATGATTTAAGGATTAATTGTAAAGCTGTAGATACAATGAAATGAGTATGCCTCAATATGCTATTTAATTTCATCTAGCATTACCTTCTAAGGAGTTTCTCATCCAGAGTGAACGGCAGTTTCAACCTTAAGTCTCGGAGCCTGCTCACGTCGAAAATAAATAAACAGCTCAAGCCGATGCTGTTCAACCAGATACAACCGTCAAGGGCATCAGAAAAGCTTAGTTATTTTGATTCGCACCTCCATTTTACGTTATTTATCTATTCTAGGTCACCCAGGGAGAAGGAGTTGAGCAACTGAGAAGCGCAGTAATTGGACTACATCAAGGCTATCTACGTCCACCCCAATTTTTGTGCGCACCATAAAACCAATAAGAAAATCTGTCATTCGGCCAAGCCCTGCTCAGTATTCTTCGTTGTCATGTATATTTAGCACTTCTTGTATTCAAGCCACCAATGGAATGTCTCTTTTCTGGCTCTTGCTCTCTCTCTTCTAATATATTTTAGATAAGCATGAAGAGCTTCGGGCTTTGAACTAACGAGAAATTATTCACACCATGAACAATCCAGCTGGTAATCAGCTTTTTTAAACATAAATAAGATAACTTGTGATAAACAGATCTTTTTCCCTTCGACAATACTGTGAGCTGCTAGAAATTGAGCCACATGAACCGAGCAAAATAAGATTGTAAAAGTTTGTGTATGATCGCGATCCTTATCTTGACTGCGCATGCTAAGTACGCCTAGATAAAGAGACATGAGTGCATATTCCGAATTAACAATGCGACAAATGAGATCTCTTCTAGACTAAACAACTACTTTGGTGAGTCAACGAAGTCATATTTGATTATATACCCAAATAATAAAATATGAAGTTCGACTATATTCCTTATATACTATTTGTTACTAAAAAGTAAAGTGCTCTGAGTAACACAAACTGGTGTTTGGTGAGTATCTGACGGCATTGTGCAGGTTTAAAATAGGGCTCATTACCTATATATGGGCGCTGTGTAGGTTACAGGCAATTAAATACAAAAAACTGAAAAAAGTAGGAGACGAGATATATATGTGAGTAAAGACATGCTGAGCCTAAAAATTGGAGACAGAATAGATGCAGATCCCGAGCAAAGTATAAATCAAGCTATGCACGAAGGATGTAGGGGCACCTTGATATAAGTGGACTTGAAATGAACTGATCGAGATCATATTTAGATCGAAAAAATGAGCCATCATTACCATCACTGGCAGGTATGAGAAGATAATACATTCCTGCGTCTGAACAGGTCAGGGTCGCGATTTCAATTGAGCTAAGTAAATCCATCTAATCGGAAAAGCTTGAGCTAGGCCTGTAGACCATAAGCCATTTACGTGCACCAAACAACGGTTGTCGTGTTATTGATCTAGATATATGGGGGTGTCTGCAATGAGTAAACTCCGAACATGAATTGCGCGGCCAAAGCATGTACTTTGTATCGTGAAATGAATAGATATGTCTAAGGAGGTACAGTGAAGCTAGACGATGGTTAATACGAATTAGCACCAGCATGGACTCTTCAGTATAAATCCTTAATTTAGTGGATATAAATAAAATCTTGATCGGTTAGATTCCCTAAAGCCAGCTAAGTGATGCACTTCTTTTGTTATCTATGATGAGAATTATGAAGACCTCAAGCCTATCTAACCAAATAAATTCGGAAGGATGTACAAAAAATAAAGGATAGACAGGTACATGAAATGACACAGATTTAGACAGGCCTCTGAGATCAGATTGTGTTGGCCAGGGCGAGGGTAGGAGAGGTAGTCTCCTTGAGGCAAGCTAGCATATGGGCTCGTAGCCGAAAAAGCTGCTCGTCAGATAAGCGGATCTGTGATATTGCTGTTAACACTTCCTCTGGCCCCGATGGATGGTCTAATAAGCGCAGAGTGGTATCCTCATTCGCCGTCACCAAGAGCCCAGCCAGCTCGGCAACGGCGATGTTGTATCCGGGATGATCGTCTGAGTTGATGCTATTGCTGCCGCCACTGCCACTTTCAATGGAGTTTAAAACTCGGCTCGATTTATCCTTTGATAACTCAAGATAATGTGTTAAAAACAAAGGTGAAAAGAAGTTAGAAAAATAGAATAAGGATTTTATACTAGCAAAATTAAAATAATCATATCATATACTAACTTATGTAGATATGAAGACAAGGGTTATGTAGCATTTATTATTGTTGCAGTCCCCTTCACTTTTAGGAGACTTAAATCA